ATTTCTCTATAAATCAAAGCATTTAGTAGGTGATCAGTTATAGTTGATTAAAAATGTGTTTGTGTACTGTTATTTTCTGCTGATTTGAGAAGGGAGCCAGCATTTAGTCCTCATCTAAACCCACTTATTGTAGCTGTCTTAAAGCCATGTCCAACTCAGAGGTGGTATCCTAGAGAAAAGAATTATTAGCAGAATGATTTGGAGTTATTTTTTGATCCTGCAGCTACATTCAGGGATGCCTGCTAACAGGGTGTCTCTGGGAGCCCTGTGTGTGAAGGGCTGGAACGAGAGCGTCCACTCTATCTGCTGTGCTGGGGCCAAGCGCTCTGCAGACCTCTTGGCTTTTATTGATGTGAGCAGCAGCTCCCAGTAAAGCCTGACCTGGTGAGAGGCAACCGTGCAGCACCTGCATACCCCGGTCATTTGGATGTGTCATGTGGACAGCAGATGAGACCGGCTAGTGTGTAGTGTGTAGGAAAACTGAGAGGGAGAAGCAAAGAGGATGTGAACATGAAAACACTGATAGGCTTGAGGGGTCAGTGCTTGATGACAGATTTTTGTAGTGCTGAGACCCATGCTTTGTGTGGTATAATGTAGAGTCTTTGTCCATGGTTGCACACTGGATTATGGGCTTCTTGACTTGTGGGGCTTGATTTTCTCATCTCAACTGGAAATGGGAGAATAACTGTGTCATAAGGTTGTGGTGAGTAAATGCACACAAAAGGGCATACCTGGCATGGAACAAACACTTTGCAGTGGCACTTCCACTGGGAACAGTAGGAGTTAAAATGGAACAAGGACCTAGTTGCATCGACGGCCTGAATTTGAGGGACTGCTCCTGATGATGCCCTGCACTGCGAGTGGGTCCCGGAGACCTACTGAGCCCCATGTTTGTTGGGGAGTGATGCTTGGGAAAGCAGGGCCGAACCCCAAGCTGCTCTGTCACAGGAAAAGGGTGTGTTCCTGTGCCGCACAGTGACGGGGCCGAGCAGGGAGCCTTTCCTTGAGGATAAGCCTCTCAGCTGTGCAGCCGCGTGACCTGGTGCCTCAGGGTCACTATAGAAACTGTTCCTTTTTGCAGTGAGCGTCTCTGGCTGCCTGGTATGGCAGTGGTAGTATACTCTATACTTACGTGAGGTGTAAACTTTAAATTGAGCATTTGTGTGTTGAGTGGACAACTCTGTCTGCACCCTAAACCTGTGGAGACATTGGACGCATAGGTACTTCGTGCAAATGTCACCACAGCAGCCCAATGAGGGCCTTGGTGACGCTGGCTGGCAGCGTGCCCATTGGGAATGCCATTCTGCGCACGGTCCAGATGAGCTGAAAGCTCCTGCACCCACAGCATTACACATATGATACGTGTGCTTTTTGTGCTGTGTATAGACTTCTGGCTGAGTGGGGCGTGCTAATTTTTAAAGACTCCATATTTAGGACTGATGCCAATAGAGAGATTCAAATATAAATGAGCTCTTTTTTTGTGGTGGCTTTGTTTTTCTAAAGGAAGATGTAGAACCTTTTTATAGAAATGTTTTTCTCCCTTTTTAGTACGTAACAGTGAACTCACAAACTGAGTTTAATCCTTTGTGTCTGGTCTGGTTTGACCAGGGAATGAGACACCAGTGGGGTTCCTGTGCAGGACGCAACCACAGGCACAGGCGTGTGCTTCCAGGGCCCTTAGGATCACAGGTGACCGTGGCAAACAGCCTTGGCCTTCGTTGCCCGACTGACGTGGAAGCACCTGGGGTCCCCTCTGCCTGTTTTGGGGCAGACTTAGATATGAACGCACTGGTGAGTTGTTCACGGAAAGCTCTTCTCCAGATTATTATTGTAAAGTAATGCAGTGGTACCTGGGTGCTGATTAATTGTTTTCGGGAGGTGTAACAACTAGCAAAAGTGGCAAGTACCAAACAAATTGTTCTGGCTGAAAAGGGTGGTGGGGTGGTGCCTCACAGGGCAATTGACATTGGCACTTGTCAGTTTTAGTTTGTAGTACCAAACCCAAGAAAAATACTGGGATAAAATTTTTGTATCAAAATGCAAATTCAGGGGCTGCGGATATAGCTCAGTAGCATAAGCGCCTGCCTGGCAAGTGCAAGGTCGTGGGTTCGATCCCTGGTACCACAAAAAAAAAAAAAAAAAAAAACCAAACCATGCAAATTCAAGGAAGTTTGGAACCCAAATTCAACAAGTTTCAAAGCAGTACTGAGGTATGACTGTATATTAGAATTTCTTGGAGAGGGTCTTGGCCCCTTGCCCGGCATATGTGGTCCTCCTTCCCATCTGGTGCTCATGGGCAGCTTCTGTGCCTAGCTGGGGCCATCTGGCTGTGCTCTTTACCTGCCCTGTTACTGGCCTCTCGCTCTGCGGGCAGTTCCCATCATGCAGTGCGCGTAGCTGGGGCCTGCAAGGGGTGATGCAGGTGGCCCTGCAGCTCCAGCAAGCCTGTAGGTGTTACCATGGCTTGCACCAGACCCTCTCTTAGGAACTTTGTCACATTTAGTGTTTCTGTCATGAATTTTGGCAATAAAATATGCTTAGTAATTTGTGGCTAATACAAAGCTAGGAAAGAGACCAAGTAAATTGGTTGACAGATATGGCATCCAGAACCATCTTCAGGACCAGATCTGATAAGATGGGATTTACGTAGACTGTTTCCCTGTAGGATGCATGTAAGTATAGGGCGAGTAAGACTGAAAAGCTGTCTCTGCTTATGAGATGGAGTAATTTAATGAATTGTGATCCATGAGGCATCAGCACATAATGAGGCCACCCAAATTCCTTTCTCTGAAGGCTGCGTTCTAGATGGTGTTGGTCTCTTCTGGTTGACTTCCTGTGGACAAGTGTGCTGGTTCTTTTGCATAACACCAGAAGGGTCATTGCCAATGTGAGGAGCTGGTGCAGCTGAGGACAGAGGAAAGCTGTACTCATGCCCAGTCAGGAAGGGTCAGCCCTGGGCAGCATCCTGGTGAGTGCAGTGCAGCACTCGGAGGGCCTGTGCACGCTGGAACTGGAAAACTCCAGCATCCTGCTAATTTTGAGATTCTGTGTATTGATGTATTGTTAGGGCCCTTGACCTTTGTGAGGTTTTACATGAAATCCTGAATATGGGTTTTGAGGAAATCTGTGCAGTATGCACAAAAATAAGTGAAGAAATAATAAGTTATATAAACTGTGATCCTGATCATGACAACCGCTTGCAAGCTAGAGCTGGTGAGATGGCGTGGGAGGCCCAGAAGCACTGCAGAGGAGCCAACCAACTCCCAGGGAAGAGATGAGGGCTGTCATGCAGGAGCCTCAGGCACCTTGGGGACCTTGCTGGCTGCTGGTTGGCAGTCCTAGAGCTCTTGGGCTCAGGGTGTCCAGCTCAGGCCAGAGGTGCAGCTGCAGCCCTCCTAGGCATCACTCATGGGGCAGGTGTACCTTCACCTGCAAGTTCCTCCCGTCATACCCACCCTCTGCTCACGAGGGTGACACTGTTCACTGGCGAGAACCACTCAGGACCCCTAGTTTAGAGTCTCACATAGTGATGCATCTTGTAACCTGTGCTTTCACTTGCTGCTTTTTGAACACCTCCTGTGATGGCCAGGTATCTTCTTTTTGTAGTGTAGGCTGGCCTGGAACTCACAGTGATCCTCCTGTCTGAGCCTCTCAAGTGCTGGGATTACAGACATGTGCCACCATGCCTGGCTTTGCTTTTCTTGTGTTTTTTTATTGTCATAGTTTTTAATTGATGTATAATTATAATAACATTCAATAAAATGTATATCTTTTGGTATAGAGTTAGGTGAGTTTCAACAGATGCATCACACCAGCACAGTACAGTTACGGAACATTTCCATCACCCCAGAGAATTTCCTTTCGCTCTCTGCCCTTGTGCCCTCCCAGCTCTGCACCCAGACCCTGCTGTCAGCCCTAGGTTGACTTTCCTCAGTAAGGGTCTCATGTAAATGCAGTGTGATGTGGTCCCTGCTTCCGATCGGCATGGTATTTCTCAAGCCTGTCTGTGTGGTTGGGTGTAGCAGTGGATGTGTGCCTTTTGTTGTGGAGGTGTGCCATTTGACCTTCAGGGAAATTTGGCTGTCCCAGATGTTTTGTTTTGGGGCCATTGTTATTTGCAGTTGGGGGTTGAACCCCCACATACCTCAGTGTGCCCTAGCTCTTCTTATTTTGAGACAGTGTCTCCCTAAGTTGTCCAGACTGGGTTTGAACATGTGATCCTCCTGCATGAACCTCTGAGGAACTAGGATCACTCATGTGTACCGCCATGCTGAGCTGACCCTGACTTTGACAATCAGGTCTAAATCCTCAGTGAGTGTGTGTGTGGTTCTTGGTGAGGACCTGTGTTTTCGCCCTTGAGTGAGTGTCTTGTGTAGATGGCAGGTGGCATACTGATGTGTTTTCTCCTGGGAGAAGCTGAGCGTGGCTGGACCATGTCTGTCCCCAACAGCACGCTTGCTGCTGAGTATGGCAGGACTCCTTTGGTTCTAGATTGTGTTCTCTGCCACTGATGATGCTGAGCTTTTCTCATGTTTTTATTAGCCATCTTCATTTCTTCTTATTTCTTCCATTTTTAGATCTTGCGAACTTTCCGTTCACTTTGTTACCCATGCTTTTATTAAGTCACTTGTCTTACTGTGAAAGTATCATCCTGCCTGTATTCTGGGTGCAAATCACTTGCCAGTTCTATGTGTGAAAGCATCTCTCCTAATCTGTTGCTCACCTTGCTGTGTTTAATGTTCTGTTTTAAACTTTTTATTTAATGGAATCCAGTTTACTGTGTTCTACCTATGAGAGCTTTACTCCAGGGTCACAGAGATTTCTCTTGTTTTATTCTAGTAGTTGTATAGTAGGTAGCTAGACTAGCCAATGTAGTTGTGGTTGCTTGTGGTTCAGATTAAATGGTTCACAGAAAGGGCCTAGAAAGCACAAGTCAGTGTTTTTAAAAAAGCAACCAGAAATTAAACAATTTCATGACTTTTTCCCCTGCTTAACTTTAGGTCAACAGGTGGTCCTTCAGGTCGGAGTGGACATCGGATGGTGGCCTGGAAGAGACAGTTAATCCTTTTTGGTGGCTTCCACGAGAGTGCAAGGTTGGTGCTGACAGCAGGCGTGCCTTTCTTTCTGGGAGCACTATGGAGGGCTGTACGGAAGACCCCCCCCTGCATACACCTCTGACAGGGGTGAGATCAGCCCAGCCCCTTCCTCTTTTGGACTTACAGGTTATAGATCAAATCCACTTTTACAGTGGCTTTTAGCGTGAAACTCTTTTGAAACAGTGAAACTCTCTTGAAACCAGAACTTTTTTCAAAGCCTTATCTATTACCTTGTTTAAAATTGGCACACGCCTGTAATCCCAGCACTCGGGAGGCTAAGGCAGGAGGATCATTATGAGTTCGAGACCAGCCTGGGCTACAAAGTGAGCTCAAAGCCAGCCTGAACTGCATAAGCGACCCTGTCTCAAAAAGACCAAAAAAAAAAAAAATTATCTAGGAAGTATTTCACACATACAGAAAAATGGCAGTACTACTATACACATTGACACCACTGAGTTAAATTAATTTGACTTAGTACCAACTGTCTGAGTTGTCCTCGAAGCAGTTGCTGCTTCTCTTTACTGGAAATCTGTGGTTTAAAATCTCAGCAAGGAGTGGTGTGTAGCAAGGCTTCTAGAAGCTGGGATCCTCTGCATCCCCAGTCTGTTGCTGACTGTCCCCAGGAGAGGACATTTGGTCTGAGTGTCAGCTGTGGCTCAAGTTACTCCCCAGCTCTTTGTGGGGATAGCAGCAGCCCTGACACGGCCTTGTCACAGCCCTGCTTCTCAATGCTGGCTGCGCCGTATGGAGGTGTGGAGTGCGAAGGCCAGCTCTGGCTAACAACTGTGGTTCCTAATGTGTTTCAGCCTGGGCTGGGCTCTTCACAGCGGGAAGAGTGGTTGCTTCCGACCAGGGTAGAATTCTGTGTCTTTCTGCACAGCTGGAGAGCAGTGTCTTGTTCTGTGACAGTCACCCTGTGGCAGCAAATCTCCCCATTCCCGTCCTGAGTCCTCACTGTATGCTGAAACCTTTGGCGCCTACACCCCAGGGCACTGAGCACGGCCTGGCTGCAGGGCCCCTGGGCTGCCGCAGGCAGAGGCTCCTTGCCTCGCTGAGGTTGTGGATGTGGAGGGGCCACTTCTGTCCCTCAGTTCTGTGGGCTCCTGACTTCGCCTGTTCTCCCCGTGCTGTCCCTGGGTCTCACCACAGTTCCTCCCAGGCTGTCAATGCCATCCTCCCCATGGTTCACTTGGACTGCAGTTACGCACAGAGCAGCCTAATGTAATCCTTTGGGAGACTATGATCTTGCCAGCAAGGCAAGGAAATACAGGATGACGTTTAGATTGAATTACTCTGCTTCTGAGGGCTGGCGTTCTTTCTGGTTTTCAAATGAAACTCACAGGTTTGCAGCTTTTCACATGGGTTTAAACCGGTAACAGTGAGAACGAACGCTCGCCCTTAGACCAGTACTCCTGTGAGCCACCCTGCCCTCCCGGCGCTCTCAGAGCTGAGGGCTTGTGTTGCTCTCTTCCGAACAGAGACTATGTCTACTACAGTGATGTGTATGCCTTCAGCCTGGACACATTCACGTGGAGCAAGCTGTCCCCGTCGGGGTCTGGGCCCACACCCAGGTCAGGCTGCCAGATGTCCGTCACTCCCCAGGGCAGCATCGTCATCTACGGGGGCTACTCCAAGCAGGTGAGACCTGTGTGTAGGGAAAGAGGCGGGGAAGGCACTTCCGTCTGCTGCTTCTCAGTTTCACCAGTAGCGGGTGCTTCCGAGTGAGAGGACACGTTAGTTTAATACAAGCAGTTCTTAGTGAATTATAAGTGGACAGGAATAGTGTTAGTTTATTCGTCTTGGAACACACTTAAGATGTTTTTCAAGTCTTATTAAGGTTTAATCCATGTCCCCCCAGAGTGCTACACTATGACCCATCCTGTATTTTGGGGTCTTCCAAGGCTGTGGACACTACCAGCATGCACCATTCCATTGCAGCCTGGACCTGGGACCTGGCTTAGCGCTCCTTCCTCCTGGTAGCAGGCTTGTTTTTACGTCTGCACAATACACAGGAGCCTCTCTCACTGACAAGCACACCTGAGTGCCTCTTGTCCACCCTCATCAGCACTTTGCTAGCAGGACACAGTGGACTCAAGACATGGCCAGTATCTCGTTATAGAGTTTTTAAAGTCTTGTGTTTTGAAACTTCTCAAACACAGCCAACTTGAAGGAGTTTTCAGTGAACGCCGCCCTGCCCACCCAGCCCTGCTGTCCTGTTCGGCTGTTGTTTGATCGTATATCTTCATCTGTGCTCCATCCTGTCAGTCAGCTGCAGTGTGGCTCAGAGATGAGTACAGAGGCCAACCCCTGACCGCTCACATGTTACCCGTGAGGTACCCTTTAGCTTGTAACACAAAGTTTCCCACGTGTAGTGTGTACCCCTTACGTGTGCACTGCTGCCTGTGCAGATGGGTGCAAGGTGTGGCCATCCTTGTCCTGCTGGCCTCTCCTATGCAGTCCCTGCCTGTGCCTCAGAGGCAAGCACTGTGTGACCCCTTCCATCCCACCCTGGGGTTCCATCCATGACTTAATTTTTTTTGTTGGTGTTGTTTGGTTTTTTGATAAGAGCAGATACTATACTTGATGTTAGCCAAAAGGCCGAGAAGCGATGTTTGGCTTTTTCAGACAGGGTCTTGCTATGTAGTCCAGGCTGGTCTCGAACTCACAGTGATCCTCCTGCCTTGGCCTCCTGGGTGTTGGGATTACAGGTATGCGCACCCACATCTTGCGGTTTCATCTGTGACTACCCTGCAGTTTGTTTCTGTTGTTCGGTTGATGGATTCCTGTGCTGTTTCCAGGCTCACTGCCAGGAGTCTGGCTGCACAGAGCCATTCTCCAGTCTGCTTTTTTTTTTTTTTTTT